AATTAAACATCATGTAATAAAGTTACTTGTTGCTAAAATTACATAAAACTAGTACCATATATGTTTAATTCAGAAAGGTAATTTATGCTAGGATTGTAAGTAGGTTGAACAAACCTTATACTTGAAGCCACAAGATTTTGACTATAATTAAGCGATAAGTAATAGGGCATAAGGCTTTTATGAAATAAAATAGGTGTAAGATAATTATTTGAGGGAGATTCAATAGATAATTTGGAGTTGTTAAAGTGGATTTGATGTTATTATCAACTGCTGCTAATGGAGGATGTTTTTTTCTTTTTTTTCTAATTGGAAAATATTTATAATTTGATATAGTAATTTGTGTTTCAAAATTGCTATATCTGTTAATTTTTTCCAAAATTGGTATTCATGTTGAGTAAAATTTTTAATAGTTCCTTCACGATTTTAGACAATATGTTTATACCAACTCTTTTTTTATTGTTATTATCATTTTTTTGTTGATTATACCCTCGTATTGACTGAAGAATTCCATAAGTGATCTATCCGTTTTGTAGTTCAAACATCACCAAAATTTAATTTAAGTTCATTAACTAATTCATTTATTTCTCGAGGTTCTTTATTAAGATCAATGTCTTGTTGAGAGATAGGTAGTCGTCTAAACTCAGATGGTGAGCTATTTGACATATTCACATAATTTTAAATTTTGATATAAACTTTAATTTGTTTTAATCCTGCAATAATAGCTTTATAATATCAATTGTTAAACCTATCATCATTCTCTTTAATCAATATACAATGCAAAAAATTATTCAAAAAATAGAAAAATATTTTAGCTCTCAATTGAATTGTATTTGAGTCATATTTTTGTACACAATTTACAATACATTGAACAATACATAAACTATCAGATATTAATAACATCTGGAATTTAACAGGTAAACTACCTAACACGTAAAGGTAAACTTAATAATATTTTTGTATCAACTACAAATAATTGCATTACCAGAAAGAAACCCAAAAGATCGTATTGAAGGCTTCATTGTCTAAAATAAAAATTTCAATCTATATTTAGCATAAAAATTGATGATAATTTTTTTTTCTAAAAATTCAACTTAAAATTTACTATATATTTACTGTTAGCTATTTGCTTTCACATGATATTTTATCTGCTTATCAACAATAAATATCTGTCCAAACTTAAAAATAATTAAAGTCACACTTATTTTAATGAGACAATGCAAAAAAAAATTTTAGATCGAGCATTACACTACTTACATATTTAATTAGAAATGTGCATTTTTAAGTCAACAATTTAATACACATCATTATCATTGACTTTTTTTTCATTAATATGTTTCCAATTTCAAGATCATTTTTGAATTTATTTTAAGCAAGGGACATTAGTCAGGCCTATGGTACTATTTATGTAGTTCGAGAATTAGAACGTTGGATAAAGAGTTAGTATTCAATACTCAGGTTTGGGTTTATTGATAAATTATTGCTCTTGAATTGTAATAATTAGATTATTTTTAGATTCTAATTTTGGTTTTTTCTTATGTGTGTTTAGGTTTGTCAACGTTAATATTGAACTTCCTTATATGAATTGATTTCTAATAGTATTAAAAGCAATAAATTTAATTACTGGATTTATCTATAAGGGTTATATTACCTCTGCTATATCGATATGATTTTTGAAGTTTTCGAATTCCAAGAAATCCACTTAATTCACCTAATTCTCGATTTACTTTGACACCTAATTTTCAATTTACTATGACATAAATTAAAAACGTAGTGTTCCGTTTGAGTATTAAAAGCGACGAAGTCAAGTATGCTGCGACAGTGTATACGTTTTAACTCTAATCACAAAAAATGCCAAAGAAATTTAAGGAAGAAAACATGAGGGTAGTTGTCATATATAAAGCTATACAAAAACATACTTAAAACGAAAATGTGGAAAAGGAACTGGAAGGCCATATGTATATGACAGAAGATTCAACATCCTTTAGTAGCAGTACCAATAATTTTCAATTTCAGAATTACTTTCTGGTATAACTTCAATTTTAAGTAGAAGTGCCAATTACTTTCTAAAATATCTTCAATTTTAACATTTTCAACATCACTGTGAAAAATAATTGAAATCGCATAAAATTTTTAATTAATAATGCATATTAATAAATGACATAATGAATTACTTAGGAACACTTATTATCGTTATATCATTATCGTTATGCTATTAGATTAGATTGATAAAAGAAACACATTTTTGTTAGGTCATGTTATTAATATTAACGTCTTATAAATAAGGGTATTTTAAAATCAGAAATTTTCTTATGTATTTATCTGCTCATAAAACAACCAAGAAATTTGGAATTTAATCTGATACTTTAAGACGTTGGTTAAGACAGGGAAAAATATCTGCGAAAACGTCTCCATCCGGGACTCGTCTCTATGATATTTCTTCTTTTTTACCAGAGTTGATTACTTAAAATGATACCTCAACCACCTCCGTTACTAAAAAGAAAGGTTTCCTATACGCATGTGTCTTAAGCAACAAACAAAAAGAAGTCCTTGAAAGACAGAAACAGATCCTTAAATCTAGATTCCCAAATTATGAGCTCGTCAGTAATATCGGGTCAGGTATCAACTTCAAAAGAAATGGACTTAAAACCTTACTGAAACGATCAAGTAAAGGAATGGTCTCAGAAATTGTGGTTACCCACTGTGACCGACTCTGCAGATTTGCATTTGACCTCATTGAATATATGTTCTCATTACACTCTATGAAACTCATGGTTCTCTTCGACGAACCAAGTTCTGATGAGCATGTATTATCGCAAGATATCCTTGCAATCAACACCATCTTTATCTGTCGAATACAGAGAAGAAGAGCTAAATACAAAAGCGAACGAAAACCAATGGAAAATAAAAACAATAAAAACACGAAGCAAAAAAAAATGAAAAATCAAAACTACTGTGAATTGAACGTTATCAATCAAAACATATCCGAATCATTCTCAGAAAAAGACATTGAAGAGATGGCTAGGTTTAATGAGATATGCTTATAATACTGTTGTTAGATGGAACAAAAATCGTCATTTTGTAATAGTTCTAAAAATTTTGAATGGATAAAACTTCATACACTTAACGAAAAACTTAAATTATACATAGATGTAAAAGAAGGAAAAGATTTTAATGAAAAAGATAAAAAATTACAGAGATCATGTGTATGGGGAGAACGCAAATTTCTTCGAACAGTTGTATGGTTAGAATTACGTGTTAAAGGTTTACATGATAAAGTACCTGCAAATATAATTGATGAATGTATTGATGAAGCTTTGATAGCTAGAAAAAATATAATACAAAAAAATTTAAAAGAAACTAAAAAATCATCATTATCATTTAAATCTAAGAACGATTTATGACAGACAATGACTGTTCGTGCGCAAAACTTTTCAAAGAAAGATTGGAAACATTTTTACATTACATATCTTCATAATTCCTTGACTTTATCATTAAAACGATGCAAACCCAATGAATTACAGAATAGAAAACATGACTTACGTCCGTTTCATTTTGAAAAAAGGAGAAAGCATAATAAATAGCCATCACAAAAGATAGATTGTGATTGTAAACTTATATATATACGTAAAACAAACGAATGGATATTTTATTGGGTATATGAAGCATAGAAACAGATCCGTGAAACACAAGTGGATGTTCATGTAGTTTCAATTAATCTGAAAGTTCGTACTCCATTCACATAGTATTCTTTGACAAAAGGTGTGAGAAAGATAGAAGAACACGATATAGGATGTATTTTTCGTTTATGTAAACACATGGACGATCTAATATCGAAAAAGGACAAATTGGCATCTTCAATCTCGAAACGAAAGAAGAAGAAAGCATTGCGTGTTGACAAAGCCATCTTTCGTATGCAACGAAAGATCAGACAGCTGCAGGACGAAATCTATCGAAAAACAATCAAGTTCTTAACAGATGAATTTGACATAATTGTTATTCCTTTTTTTAAGGTTTCAGACATGGTGAACAGGAAAACATGAAAGATAACAAGAAAAACAGTTAGAAAGATGCTTTGCTGGTCTCATTACAAGTTTCGACAACGATTGATTTCAATTTTCTGTAAATTTAGCAATCTCCACCTTTACTTGGCACCCTTTATTATCCAAAGTAAAACTCGCTATGATGCTTTCTACAAGACCAAACTTGTTTCCTTTCTGACATCATTTCTGGTGTTAAAACAAATTTATGCTGTGAGACAACTGCCAAAAGTAAGTACTTGCATTAATATAAAGATTATATTTGTCTACTATTGCGATATTGATAAAGAAAATTCACTACATATAATTTTTTTTTCTTTTTTAGAATTAGATAAATTTAATACAGTCCAATTGACTATGTAAAATTATTTAATTACAAATATACAAATGAGGTGTCATCAATCAAAACGTAATGTACTATGGTGAGATTACGTTATTACAATAACGTGTTATAATTAATATTGTGTAATTATATTTTTAATCTCACTATATTACGTTACGTTTTGATTGACGACACCTCAAATATTCAACGTTAACAATAAACTAATCTGAAAAAAACTTATATAAAATAATTTTCGTTATTTTTTTCTCTCAAATTTGTGTTTTAAAATATGCCGCCTAGATATTCTTTAAGATATTCTGTTAGAAGGTTATTTATTGGAAATTGATATTTCCCCACCATTTTTTGATATTGTCATGCTCCTGTTAATAGAAATCAATAAAATTATTAGGACTTTGGTAAGGTTTAGAGTTAGCAGGGGTGTGGCAATATCAAAAAAAGGTGTGGAAATATCATTTCCTATTTATAATATTGTTAATAATTACTTATCAATTCATGTGATTCATATTAATATAAATTATAATTTAAAGATGATGATTAAGTCTTGGAAGAGACTATAACAGTAGAGAAGTAGATAATTTAATTTACACATATCAGATAGAGTCGTCACCAGCCCAAACTAATGAAACAACAGTTATGTTTAATATGTAAATTTTTTAATATTATTTTAATTTTTACATATTTTGATATGTAAATTATAATAAGTAATATGATATTTTGTGTTTGCTTTACTTAGACTGGGTAATAATCCTCTTTTAATCAAGATTCGGTTGATTTGAATCAAATTTAATTAGGCTTGATGTGAGGCTGCAAGCACTAATTCAAATAATGTATCAAAAAGTTTGAGAAAATAATACTCATCTTAATAAGCAAATATAATCGAATTGTACTACATTCTACTGTTTTAAAGATTATTAATTATGGCAGTAAAAACCTTCAATTAATTAATGCGATTTATATAAGTATATTGGTGGCAATCATATTCAAGCTGATTAATATATTATTAAGGTTAACAATTAATTGATTATTATTGATCAACATCGGGAAATTCTTAAATAGGTGGATAGCTACAGAGGCTAATCACAAAAACTTTATAAAATTATATATACATTATCAATTATTCAATATTTAAGTAATGTTAAGGAGATAAGTTGACTCAAAAGTATAGCATACTTTTAGACCATCATGTAAATTTGTACTCCCTTTTAGGTCGCATGGAGTGTTCCACATTGCAACTATGGAGTTTGCTTTGTACTCAGGTCTTGAAGAGTCGTCACAATCAATTAGAATAAAAATTTCATAAAAAAATTTTTTTAAGTTCACTTTTCTTTAAAATATTTTAACGTACAAATTTGTACACTAAACCAGGTTATTTGAAAGATATTTTTATCGATTTTAATTGATTAGAAAACTTTTATTTAGAAAAAAATTGTTTTTTTCTATTGACTTCCCCATATACCAATAATTTTCATATATATCAATAGAAATCAATACACAATAACTATTGATTTCTAACAAAAAATTATTCTGATGTTGATGAATTCAGAATTGAAAAGATAAACTCTTGCCAAGCAATGTTAGGAGCTGCTTACATGGAGGAAAAGTTAATGCAGCTCTCAAATGTGCTATAACCTTGAAAATTCAAATGAAAGATATTACTAAATGTAATGACTTCCATGCTAACAATAAAAATTGACCTCGTGTTAATGCCAAAGCGCTTGAACGAATAAATGTTGAAAGGATTGAAGAAATATATATGTGGACATAGTTTCAAAAACAAAACTTAGATCATTGTAGCCGTAACTCATGCGAGTCTTCCCAATTCTGCATCTTGAATTTCTAGGTGATGCAGTATGGTAAAATACTTATTCGAGAAATATCCTGATGAAGAACCGGGATAATGACTGATCTAAAAGATGTGGTTGTTAACAACCAAGTTCTTGGTGCAATTTGTGAATGAATCAATCTTCATAAGCACATAATCATTTTTCCAGTAAATTAACAGGTGGAATAACGAAATTGGTTTATTCTTTAAATTCTCGTGTCAAATTGTTAATATTTAAGATATTACACACGAGTTATTTATAAATTAGTTATTTTATATTATATAAATATTTGCAATATATTATAATTTGAATAAAAATTATAAATCAAAAAATCAATTCATTTATTAAATTATTAAATTGAAATATTTATAATTTTAACATTGCTTAATTCGGAATTATTCAATAAATAAGATTTTATTTAATAAAAACCTGATAATTTGCGTCATGAGGTTATTTGCATCATGAGGTTATTTAAATTAGCTTTTGTTATATAAAGTTTTAGAAGCAAACTGTTAACTTTATAGTTATGATTATTATTAAAGTTAACATTAATGTTACAGTTAACATTTTAAAGTAGCTGATTTCAATATACATGTTCTTTTTTTGAATTTTAAATCTTTAAACGAATACCAAAATTTTGATTAAATGTCATCATTCCGGATTTTTTGCAACAGCTATCTTTCTTATATCCTAATATACCATCATACATCCTTACAATTTGATTATGAGAGAATTTTACGATGAATGTCCTGAGGAAAGAAATAATATGCTTCAAAAATGACAAACTCAAAGTTCTGTTTTTGGTTAAGCAGTTTTTTACTGCTGCTTTCATCTCTTGATACCTTAGTATGTTAAGTTCATGATTTAAGGAATGATCAAAGTTTTATTTTCTTTGCCTTTACGTTTTAGCATTTGATCACTTATATTTTAAATGTTTTTGATTAATGTTAAAGAATTTTTATAAAAAATTTTTATAATATTTAGAAAAAATTAAAGATTCCATAAAATATATTTTTATTTTGACCTTGTAAAGATTTATGGATGTTCTAATTTGGTGAATTGTATTACCATTACTGTATTTCAACTTATTATCAACCTCAGTATCTTTAATTTATCCCACCATTAACAATTTCTATTATTAATTCTGTTTATAATAAACTTTATACTTTTTTATCGAATTGATAAGAAAGACCTCAAATCCTGAAGTAATAAAATCTTGGAAAAATTTTTCTATTACTCGCTATAGATTTGTTCAGAATAAGAAATTAAATTGAGATGATTCTGTGACATTAATAATAAATCAATTAAATAAGAAAAATTGTAAAATATAAATCACATTACTGGTGAAGGATGAGAAAATAGCTTTTGCATTTTGTTAAAGGTCATGCACTATATAAGTAAATTGGTAAAACCATTTTGGTTAAGTACGGGTTTTGGGCTTTTCTATTTATGCCTTAATTGATAACTAGAATAAGAAATCAAATTTTTTTTTTTCTCTTATGAACATGGAACACTATAAATGACCTACTTTTTTTTCCTATCAATTAAAAGAAAAAAAATTACTTTCCTTTATGGCAGCTTTTTTTCACAACATTCACACATGCACAGACATGTATACACAGGAATGAAGAAAATAAATAATGATAAACCTTAACGTTAAAAATGAACTTTTAAGTTAATTCCAGTTGGACTATTCAGTATTGTGACAATTAACCTTCTTGAGCAGGACATCGGCTCTGAAGCCATATGCTTCAACGGCTCGTTGGTTAATTTGTAATATCTTTTTTTTTTGAGCAAGTTTTTTTGGACCACAATACCACGCAGTAAATAACCTTCTTGAGCAGGACATTGGCTCAACCTGTATCATTTAATTCGAATAAAATTTACTTATAAGTTTTCCCTGTGCATCACTCATAGGTCATTATATCGTAATAATAATCAAATAAAATACTCTCGAGTTAGTCATATTAAAAATTAGTTAAAAATATGATCACGTCATTTAAGAAAACATTTATAAATATTACAGTTCAAGTAGATTCATATTCTCTATTTTTTTTAAAAAAAAAATTTAAAAATGATTAAGACAGTGGATAATAGAGACGAACTTATAAAATATTGCTTCGATATTTTGTGAAAAGCAACTGAAGGAAAAATAATTTCAGTACTTTTAATAAAAATCCATTATTCACAATTACCTTTAACTTGATCGATGGGGATTCCAAAACGTTAAATTTAGAAGCGCCAAAGGTAGTCCTTATTACTAGAGAAAATTTCATAAAAATTTTAAGGGTTACTGAACAGAATGAAAAGGAAATTGCAATCGATGACGAAGAGGTAATTACAATTATCTTTTAAGTTTTGTTATATATAGGAACTAACAAGACAAAAATCTTATAAAGGAACCTAGTAATTCGTCAACTGAAATAGCCATTCAAGAAAGTGCACAAAATTCTAGCTTCGATGTTGAGGCATATAGTACTTTATCAATAAATAATCAGATCTCTAATGATTTTATTTATCTTATACCCATACAATGTGCTGACTCTCTTTCAGATGAATATTCTATCTCTGATGAAGAAAACGATGAGCGGAATTTTGATGCAGCTTTAACTTTATTGCATGAGGCAAAAGAAACAAGTCAATCTACTGACAGGCATCAGTTCAAAATAAATACGAAGTTTAAAGCTGCAAAGAAAGTTAAGGTATATGAACTCTAATCAACCAAACATAATAATACCGATTACTTAAACAATTGTATTAACTAAAAGGTTAATGATGGACGAGTTTCTTCAAACTTGATAGAGGATAGTTCCCTGAAAAGTATGAATGAAGCATTGGTAACTATGAAATTTAAGTGTTTTGGTTTATTAAGTTACATAGTATAAATATTTAAAGCTTAAAAATTTTAGGACCAATCGTTAGTCGTCAATGATGTTCAAGAAAATACTAGTAATAAAGTAAATGAATTAACAGTAGGAGATAAATGTGATGAAGTGAAGGATATTCAAATGGGCCAGCAAGATAATACAATTGTTAGTAATAATAATCGAATTTACTTTTTTAGATTTTTAAAATGTACATTTATTCCTTATTTATGCAAAAATATTGTTTATTGAAATGCTGAATATCATACAAGAACAAAAAAGAAAGAATGGAATATTCTTCATCTGAATCATCCGATGCTGATCTTGATGGCATGTAATTAGATATTTTTTCCAAAACAAAGCATTTCAAACAGTAAATTAATATATTTTCTATTGTGATTAAAGCGTGAATGTGGTGGGCTTCAAAGTTCTAATAAGATAGTGAACCTTTCACAAACATCAAATGATCCAGAGTTTGGTGAGGAAACCGATGCCTTATTACCTAACTCTCATTCGTCAATCAATGCTATCATCAATACTTTACAAGCAGTTGGCATCGATAATCAAATTTCAATTGATAATGAATGCGTTACTGATAATCAGGTAAGAAATTTTTATTAAAAGAATTTGATAATTTCCTGTAACTAAGTTAATCTAAAAATCTAATTTATCATTTACAAATCACCGACTAAAGCAAGCTGAAAATAATGGAAAATCGATTGAACCTATGCTCAGTGACGAAAAAGTTGACGAATTATTACTTGATTTTTATTTGCAAATTAATATTGCAGTCAATACTTCACAAACAGTTAGCACTGATAATCAAATTTCCCTTGAAAATGAATATGCTACTGACAATCAGGTAAAAAAAAATTTATTGTCGCAGCTGATGCTGGAAATTAGTGACCATGATTTAAAAATATAAACCCTACCAAAATCCACCTATACTCTTTCATTATCAAAACTATTCCTAAACCCTAACCTAACGGTAAAAAAAAAAAGCTAAAAAATGCATCCCAAAAATTCTTAAAATTTCATATTAAAATATTTAAAATTTCTAGCATCAGCTGTTTTCGGCTTTAGCCGCGACATTTATTAAGAGAATTCGAAAGCTTCCTGTAACTAAGTTAACCTAAAAATCTAATTTATCATTGACAAATCACAAACTTAAGCAAGCTGAGAATAATAGAGAAATGGATAAACAGCCATCGATCAATTTTATCTCAGGAATGCTTGAACAAACGACCCTAGCAGAAAATAGTACACAAGTAGATGATATTGGATCGATTCAAGATAATGATTATGTAAGAATTTAACTAGTTGATTAATAAATTTTAAAAATAAAATTATTAATATAGATTATTGTCAAAAAAAACTTGACAGGAAGAGGACTTTGATTTTACTGGAAATTCAGAGAAACCGAAACGTAAAATACATGAATTTGACAATCAAACTGTAAAAAAAAATAAAAAATTAAAGAAAAAATATAAAAAACAACTGGATATTTCGGATTCTGGCACTGAAGATAGTCAAAATATAAAATTTTCAAAGAAAAAGATAATGAACCACAATAAAAAAAGAATAACGAACTACAATAAAAAAAGCAAGGCTTTATTGGATCCTTTGGGTAGTATATATTACAATTATTTATATATATTATTTAATATATAAAATTTTTGTTCATCATAAGAAAAATAATAAATAATTATAGAAAAGTCAACTTCACATAATGGTAGCTCTACAAATGACTCAATTGAAGATAGAGTAGAAAGCGCCAATTTTTCAATTGTTGTTATAGAAAATAAAGAAATAGATAAATATTTTAGTAGTAGTCAGGTAATCTTAGTGTGATTGTAAATTTGATTATTCTATATTATTCATTTGTTATTTTTAAAAGCGGATAGATAAAGCAGAGTGTGTGCCAGAGACCCAATCGGGTGTTAAAGTAAGCATTAATAATCAAAATTTCAAAAATTAAAAACATATTACGCAATTAAGTTTAACTAAAATTATCAAATTAAAAAAGAAGTCATTCACGCAACTGGACAGTTCTCAAAGTTCAATTTCTCTTCAAGATAATATTTCTGATAGACAAATCAGTCCAATCATAACACAACATGAACAACCTAATAGGGAGATAGTTAATGAAGATAGTTCAGTAAGTATATAATCACTTATTTAAATTAAATATTACGAACAATAGTTTAGTACTCGCAATGCTTATACAATTTATTTAAACTTTTACTAAGGGAAATTCTATTTTTACTCGGGTTAAAGTCACCAAAATATTACCAATATTGTTACTTTAAGTTATTGGGTGACTTTATTCCAGGTGAAAATAGAACTTCCATTTTACTAATTATAAGAATTACAAATGATAAATATATTAAAAATACTGAAGTATGATCTGGTATATACAAAATGCATATTAATTAATATTTTCTTATTTATTAAAAGAATAAAATAGATAATTCTCAAGTAATCCCATTAGATATTAATACTGTTCAGGTACTTTTCATGTAAATTATTAATTTTTATAAAATATTAATATCATCAAATTAAAAAGAAATTATCCATGTAGACTTATAGTTCTGACGATAATTGGGAAACAGACTCTCAAGTAAGGAATTCGAAAAATCCTGAATAAAATAAATATATTTATTACTAAATAAATAAATATATATAACAGGACTAAACCAATAAATACTTCGATATTCAAATCGAAGGTATCCCAAATCCAATAATGATCAGTGATAAACCAATTGATAAACTTTTCAAAAAAATCCAAGAAGGATTTGAGGAGTATTCTTTGCATACAGTAAATAATGTTGACATTTATTTCGAGGAGAAGGTTGATATAAGGTGTCAAATTAGAAATATCTACAGACAAATTTCAGACAGAGGAACTAATTTTAATAATGCAAGGGTTCAATATATTCTTTCACTTTGTGAATTGGTGCGAATTTCCTATGAATTAACAAAAAAGGTAAAAGAACTAAAAAAAGATAATAAGTTCACAGTTTCTAGATTTATTGAGGTGAAAGATCAAGAAACAGGTAGATGGAGACAAAACCCCGATGCAAATGAATGAAATAGCTTGTTTGTAAAAGGTGAAACAGTTAAAGCATGGGTATATAAGATTATAAAAGAAGAAGCATTGGGCATTATAAAAAAAGAAGCAAGAATCAGGGATGAGATGATCGCAGCATGACATTCCTTCATGCTTGTTGTGCGTTTAGGGTGGAACGTAATTTCTAAGAGCAAAAGAATTGATCCGATCAGATTAAAGGTCATGCCAAAATCTAAATGGGAAGATCTTATTAAAAATATAAAAGAAAAATACTCAGTCAATACTGATTATAAGCTTATTGAAAAAAGCTTAAAAGAAGTAGAAGATAATTTTTAGAGCAAAAAGTTTAAAGTTTCAAACATTGTATAAGATTGGTTATAACTTTTTTCTGTCATTCTGGTCTTTGTACAAAACAATATGTACTGTATTAATTTATTATTTACATTCAAAGAGAGACATGTTTGGTAATAGTTTAACTAGAAACTTAGATTGTACTTCCATAATTTTACATGCATTGCAATGTAATATTCCTAGTTATTTTGATTCTCAATTACTATTATGTTATTTGGAATATTGAATGGTTTTTAGTAATCACTCTACAAACTTCTTTTGCGTATTTTCTAAAAACTTATCTTACAGTATGACTAATACATGATTTCGGACCGCGAAATCATATAATGGTTTGGCTTTTGAAAAATAATTAATGTGTCAATTTAAAATAGTGATACACTAATTAAATAATAATGATATCCTAATGCTATTTTTTGTCTAAAAATCAACGTTTGTATTAATACAAAGTAGTAAGGATATATCTTAAATTTCTGTGCCGAAAACTTTTATTAAATAACAAAGGCTAATTTCCTTGCGAATTTGAGTTTTTTGTGATATCTTGTTTTTACTTCGCATTTCTAATGATTCATGCTGATCTTACAATCGGTTTGGATAAAAATCACAGGACTGCAAAATTTTTGCATCATCAGTATTTTACTCATCTCTGCTGCAAAACATTCATTTTTGATATTTCCGCACCTACTTTTTTGATACATCTAAACATATCCTAAAATTTCTAGATTTTTTGCTAACTTTACTATAATCACATGCGATCTTATTGGGTATGTTTAGATGTATCAATAAAGAGGTGTAGGAATATTACAATGTATGTTTTGCATCTCTACCATAAAGTAGGCAGAGATAAAGTCATGTAATAAATCATTTTCGATAAGGTCATAAAACTGTGTTGGCTATCGATTCATTGGGTTAGTCCGATGTCACGTGTTTTAATATCAATTATATAGATACATATTACAATTATTACATGCTAAGTATATAAACTTATGAAAATTTTATAAAGACTATTATATTCTAAATGGTTTGTAATAGTGATAGTAAGTTTTTTAGTCGATTTCTACATTCAGTTGAATTTCCTTTATAAATTATATGACATAATTATTAAAATATTTTACAATTTTATTAGCAGTTCCTCGATGACATCTAAGTCAAAGCAATGATGTTATCATTTCGAAAAGGTAATAAGTCTTGTTTAAAAAGGTAATTTTCGACAGCTTTTAATACTTTATAATTATTATAATTTCTAAAATAGCCCTATAAATATTAAGTTCACTTATTAGTTTTCTCAAATCATTTTTGGTTTTTTTTGTTCAACTGTTTTACCAAATTCTTTTTTCAAAATTTCTGCTACTTCAATAAGCATATCAAGACATTCATAATTGTTATTACAATGAGTCTCTAGTGCTAAGGATAGGTTCTAGTGTGCACAACTTTTAGTGCATTTAGTGAATCATTTTAAATTTTGTTAAAATTTACATATTGCAAATGAGTAAAATAATTAGAAATATAATTAAAAGTGTTGATTTATTTGAATTAACGTATTTTAATAAATTGTAAACTTTTATTTATTTAATTGCCTTAAACATAAAATATTTTACAGTATTTAGGCTTTATAATTATATAGTATTTTGCAATTAAATAACAAATTGACATGAATTATTTAATTTTGACTAAACAAAAAAAACAAATTCCTTCTTTACTTCATTGCCTGATTCCTTCTCATTTATTATAAAAAATTTTAGTGATTTGCATTTGTCTTTAGAATAATTATATTTAATTCTGTCATTATCTACTAATTCGAGTCTTTAAAGATTTTGTAAATTATTTTAGTCTCCAAAAAAATTTTCAAAAGATTTTTTTACCAATAATTTCCCCAAGTTTGGCAAATGAATTGCAATATTATCTTTTTTAAACTTGATTCCTTGTAAAATTAAGCTTCTAATGCTTTGAGATTTTGCTTGCAGCATTACTTGTACAACATGGATACAAAACTAATAAGTGCTAAAATAATTCAGCTCAAGTTCCTTGAGTTCAGTTTGAGTGCTAATTAAATTTAAAAATGACTGACTTCTGTTAAATATATCAATAAAGTAAAAAATAACAATAATATATATACGTATATTTTTTATTAGTGAATGATAAGCTTTTTTTAAATATAATTTATAATAAACTCGTATCAATTAATTTGCATCTGGATTATATATTAAAAACTGGATTATTCAAAAATTGTTTGTATCTGTAAAAATCTGAATTAAATTCGGATTATTTAAAGAATTATTTAAAGTACTGTACATACAGATTTTAGCTTAGGAGTGAAAAATATCTATCTTATCGATTATGTCATTATTTACATTTGGTAATAATCATCAATAAACATACTGTATTTTTCTCTCATAAATCTTACGAATGATTATTGTTTATTGTAATCATCTTTTGTCACATGAATTGAAACTTATATAAAAGGTAGTTTCATAGGGTTTATGAATTTGGGCTAAATTAAGGCTTAATTTAGAT